CCCCAAAACCCCAAAACCCCAAAACCCCAAAACCCCGCTTGGATTATTTAATATAGATTTTATTTATTATTCAAACTTACTATTTTATCATGGAGCCTAATTTTTCATCTTTTAAAACAAAATTGAAGAAAATTATTCCAAATATTACGTTAAAAACTCTAAGTATTCGTGATAAAGACATCCAAATCCCCTCCCACAGACATCTCGTCCCAATCACTTCCAAAAGCCAGTTCGGTAACAAAAGCATCAGGTTCCAGAACATGCAAAGCAGCCACAATAAATCCTTCGACTTAGCCAAGGCTCCAGCCCAGTTCAGCTTGGCGAGCTCTCCACGAACGATGAAGCCAGCTAGAAGAGTCAAAGAGTGCAAGTCGCAGCTCTAAGGAGCAACATCAGGTTTGTTCCCGACCAGCTCAAGAGTCATGGGTCTTATTTAGGAGTCAAGAGCCGAGTCTTGAAGGAGTCTGTTGACTTGTTGAAACTCATACACAACACTCAGCTTAAAACGGAGAAGGAAAGGCTAAAGAGTAAGAAACATTCTGAGTGTTCTCAAGATCCTCCTCCCGTTCAAATACTGGTAAAATAAAGTTTAACATAACCATTCGAGCCTTTTGAAATGTAAATTTCCTCTGCAGCTTAATGTTTTATCATTCTAATTTTGCCAAATAACCTCCTTCTCCAACTTCTTCTAACATTCTGTAGAACTAAGGAAGACGTTATTAAAGAGGAACTGATCCAGTACAGGTCTCTTACAAAATCCCTTCTTGAAAAGATAGATCAACTAGAAGCCAAGGTGAGTGAGCTTAGTCATCAAAACTTCCTATATTCCATTGAGAATGCGGGTTCTAAATCAGAAGCAGTAGAGGGTATCAAAAGTAAACTTGTTCAACAACGTAAGTGCAGTTTCACTAATATTTTTCGCTCTTAATACTATTAGAGAAATGCTTATTCCTTTCTGTGATAATATTAAGATAACGCTTATGTTTAGATGAACAAATGACTCAATTGAAATTCAGCCATGGCTTGGTTGTCAAACAATATGAGCAACAGCTTGAATCCAAAGATGCTGAGATAGCTTCTCTTTGAGATAAAATTAATGAACTTGAACAAAGTCTTAAAGATAATAGTTTTAAAGATGGCAAGGTAGAATTTAAATTTTTAGATATGACTACTTTTATAAATAAATATGAAGATAATGAAAAACAGAATAAGGAATTGATTGAGGAAAAGCTAAATCAACTTGAAGCCCAAAGGCATAGCGATCTGAGAATCATCGAGTCTTTAGAGCTTAAAGTTAAACTGATCCCTCAGTATAAAGAACAGATCGAATCCCTTAAACGTAAAATAAATCTGTATTTAAACAAAGAGACTGTAAATAAAGATAGAGTGAGGAGTGTAAATTTGTACTCTCTTGTAAAAAAATATGGTGAATCCTACGCCTAAAATTAAAGACGTAGCAAAGAATCCTCCCAAGGGTAATCGTCTAACATCATTCATATAGTCAAAATAAAATCAAAATCGATACATATGACATCAAAGAAAAGACAGAGCATGTTGAATGGAGATAAAGATACTCTACAATCGAAGGCTTCAGAGATGGTTCCTAAAACTTTCAAGAGAGCAACTACTCTTTACCACGGGTTTGATGCTACCAGAAAGATTATATCCCAAAATATGGACAAGTCTGGGAAGACTGATAATTCTCAGAAAGACCAAAAGCCTACTAGGAAGGGTCATAAGGAATTCTCTGAGATCAAACCCTCAGGGAAGTTCGAGCTTGAAGAAAAGTATGTGGTTCCTCAACAAGAAATAAGTGACTATGACTCACAAGATTGTAAGTAGCCACTTGTTTGACATGGGATTAAGGAAAATACTTTGACAATTTTTAAAAGATTTAAGACTGTTTCTATGTCAATTAGTTAGACATATCTATAAAAATTCTTTAAGGTAAGGACATCCGAGACAAGTACAGTTTCAGAGAGAAGTATGAAGAATACAGGGCCGATGAGCAGTATAGTCTTAATAAGCAGTTTTAATGAAAAATTCTTAAAGTTTGAAATTAGTCATAGACTTTTGTAAAACTTTTTCTTTCGACGGAAGAGGAGATTTAGATTTGGTTTGGTATTTTGTGTACTTTAGGTTTTTGAAATTGAACATCTCTTTTAGAGCCTTATAGGTGTTGCATTGAGTTGTTTTAAGCATTAGATTATTTCATTACTCAGGAAGTTTATTTGATCAGCTTCAATTTCAGAATATTTGGAGATAATCAAAGAGTTTTTACTAAACTATTATGATAGCTTGTATTATGAATTATTATGGTGATTGTAGGATCTAATAATATTGATTGGTTAGAATTTTAATATTATTTAAATGTAAAGCTTACTGATAATTTCTTGTTTACAAGCTATCTTAAGATTCTTTCCATGTATTTCTAGATAAAAAATTCATCAAATATTCTATTAAGTTAGGAGACTATCATTTCTCCATGTAAATCTACACTAAAAACAAATGAAGTACATTGAGAGCTTTCACTTTGGTTTTTAATGTTGAGGATTTCGGTAGTAAAATTTTAAAAATTTGTATGAAGAAATAATCTATGAACTTAGTATTTCTAGCTATAAGAGCCCAATTATGTGTTAAATTCTATTTCCGGTTATCTTAATATCAAAGCTTAAATACTTTCCAACTTAAAGTAAATAGACAAGATGAGAGTCATTTAAACTTCTAATGAGGATAACTTCTTTGAATATAAGAACGAACTTTCTCATTGTTTCAAGCTTTTCGATACATTCTAGTTTGACTGTGCTTCAGAATGGAATCGAAAGTGTGGAACTTGAGATCCAGTGTTCTTAATAATTCATCACAAAATAAGTTGTAAAGCTTACAGCAATTAACACCAGACTTAGATTATTTACCTGTCACCGCAAAAATTTTGGTTTTCATTGAGATAGATTTCTACATTGGCCACAAAGATAAATTTTAACTGGGAAATAGGAAGTGGGAATTATGATTTGAGGTTTGCCCATTGTTGTTTTATTCATATTTTTTGGAAAGAAATTGTAATTGAATTATAAATTAAATCTTTGTTTTAAGATATCAATATCTCCTTCCTAGATTGGGGTTTTGGGGTTTTGGGGTTTTGGGGTTTTGGGG